AAGATCTCTGGAGAGGAATTAATGCTAAGTAAACAAATGCTTCAATAATCTCCTGAGACAGTAAAAGTGTCAGGAGAGCTAGAATAAATATGACTGTAAGGAAGAAAGAGCTTTTAAGTGACTAAAAGGAGGTGGGCTCAATCTCTGGGGACTTGGTCAAAAGCCTAGAATTAAACAAAACAACAACACATGTTATGATAAAGTCTGACTGAAACTGGCCCCACGGTTCAAGGTAGAGTATATGATTAACTTACTTTAAAATCTATTATAAAAAGATTAGCCAGGGTGGAAGGAGAAAATACCAGCAGGTAAGCAAAACCATATAATATAAAATAATACCAGAGTATTTTTACACATTGCACACAGCTAAACATGGTATTTAAACCTGAACTTTTTAAGCATATTAAAAGTTTCAAATCCCAATGGTCTTACCTTTATTTGCAATAACGAATACGTTTAGATTAGAATAATCCCACCATCTCATAAAATTCCATTTTTACTGCCTATATAACTCTATCCTCTAGTAATCATAAATTAACTTGTCAAGGACGCAGCAGCCTATCACTGTACCTTACTGGGCCAACAATCCTGCTGTAACATCATTTTACAACATTCAACTCTCCATGCTAATTCTGAACTTGTACAAATTTTAAAACTAACAAGACAATCATTTCTGGGGCAAGCTAAACAGCAAAATTTTATCTAGGGTATAAGCACAATGAAGTTCCTTCTGAAAAGACAAAATATGCTCTGAAAAATAAAATATTTTCTTCTTGCTTCCTTAAGAACTTCCAAACTCTTTAATAGATTTCCCAAATTTTCTACAAGAATGTATTATTTTTAATGTCCAAAATGTATTTAACCAAATTCAAAAGATCGCAAGCTTAAATAAAACTTTAATAATACTTACACTAAATGTCCTCACCAAGCCTCCTCTAATACATGCTCAAACATTCCTTATCAGTATTTAACCAACATTTACATATGATAGAAGACTCCTTATTTTTGAGTCTTAACATTTACAGTAAAAACAGCAAAAATTGGTGAAACAAATGACAACTCTGTTCCTATCACTGAAGCACTATTTTACTAATAAAAATTAAATATTTTACTAACAAAAATTCATCTACCCTATTTCTCGAGACAGCACAAGGAATTTTACTATCTAACATAATACTGACTACTGAAAAGTAAGCTATCAAACCATCCCCCTAAATAAAAGGTTTTTCCTCCGTTTACTTTCTTTCTGGAGCACTTTAACCCCACACACACCGTGTTCTTACTGAGAATGGAAAGAGGACAATAGCCAGCTTCACCTGTGGCTTTCCTCCCATAAGCAGTTCAAAGTTTACCACAGGCAGGGTGCTGTGCTCAATACAGGCGTGTTCGAGGTAAACCTGTCAGACCCACTTGGCAGCTAACTTGTGGCGTTGGCCTCGCTGACACTGAGTTCTAACAGATCTATGTCACCCCTACGACGGAAGGTGGGCAAGCTGCTAGGCCAGTGCCACCCCATGACCCACCTACCATCCCAGGCAAACAGCTTCTCCCTTATCCAGTCCTCTCCCCAACAATCCCTTCCCAACCAGGACTCCTACAACCCGCACAGGAAGAAACCACAAATAATCACAGAGGGGGCTGGCGGACACTTGCGAAGCCCAGACAACAGCAGTGCCTGCCTCCACGCAACAGCCAAGACCCACGCTATCTCTCTCCAGTCCGAGGACCCCCAAGATGGCTTTATAACTTACACCTCAATTTCAAAACACAGGCTTCTCTTCATGTTTCTGGCCACTTTTTCCACTATTTCATCATTATGAAGTGTAATATTAAGCACCAGGCAGCTACTCTGTGCCAGGCCCTGAACTCTGAAGCTACTTCAGAGGCAAAAACAAACACTGTATGATATTGAAAATGTCATGTAAAAATAAGAAGTGGCACTTCTAGAGATACCTTTGCAAATTTTTTCTGTGAAATTTAAACATAATCTCTCATTTGGGTCAGGCTAACTTAAACACACTACTAATTTTCACATGTAAGCAAAACAATAGTGATCTACAATATGATATAACGGAAAGATATGCTTTTAACACAGTTATTTACCCCAATTAAGGTACTGTCGATCTGCCCAGGTACCTTATGTTGACAAATGAAAAAATACATAAATTTCATTATTTATAAAATAAAATCCAACTCATAAATGTTTCCACAGCTGCTAATTCTGAGAACCATCATGCTCTTTAGATCCAGCCCCTCTTCTCCCCAGGACACCACACACACCTCCAATCTCACCCACATTTAACCAAACTGTTTTACTGTAACGTAGAGACGTTAGTGCTCCACCAAAATGCAGAAATAAATGACAGTCCCTCACCTCGTACCTTCGCCATCTAAAAAGCAGATGAGGAGAAAAGGCAGTACACAGTACACATGGGAAGTGCTACTGAGATTACAAAAATGCAGTGAAATTATGAGGTGGACAGACGATGGGGATGGACAGGGATAGGATTATTCAAGTAAGGCTACATGCTTGACAGACAGGCATGAACTTGCTAGACAAGGTGGGAGGAGGAGCGTCCAAAGCCTAGAAACATAGCATCTACAAAGGCACAGAGGAAAATATCTTTGCTTTTCTTGATTGTTAATTTTGTAATTCTCAGAAGGTAGGTTTTCTTTAAAGGATAAAATTTCAGGTTACTTTGAGATATTCAGCATTACGTTGGAAGCACATCAGAATTTATTCAAATATAAATATAGACACAATTTTAACACTATTTTTACAACACTCTTATTTGACCAACCACTGGTATTTCTGTATTTGCCAACAATGTACTCACACACATCCCACATGCAATTAATGCCCCAGAGTGGAAGACCTAGGCAAGAGCTTTGGGGTCTAACGTTCTTGAGATCAGAATCCCTCTTACTCATGTTTGACTTGGCAAATCTCTGTGCCTCATGTTCCTAATCCGATTATAGCATATTTTACATTACCATGTTCATTTGAATAGTTTGTCTCCTTCAACTACAATGTAAACACCATGACAGCAGGGATTGTCTTGATCACTGCTGTATCCTCAGCACTCAGCACAGTATCTATAAAGGCATGATAGCCTTTAATAGGTGCCGAATGTATACCTGATATACCTGAGTGAATGACTAGTTAGTAGAGTAGTAACACATCACTTCTGAAGCACTACACTTTGACAATGAACTCTGACCCAACAATCTGTGTAGCTCAGCAATCTCTTAAGATTATCTATCAATTTCAAAGACTTATTAGATTCCTTTTGAAATAGAGTAACTAGAATATCAAAAAATAATCCAAATGGTCCTCAGAAATCATTTTAGTATAGTTTCTTTAATATCAGCGCTTCCTAAAATGTAAATTGTGAGAGGGAAAAACATCTATTTGGGGAAATAAATTCTCCAGTGATTCATTATTCAGTATGATTTCTTTAATCCTGTAGATCAGCGATTTTCAATTGGTGTGCCATGGCACACCACTGTGCCACAAGAATATTTAAAGGAACATCTAACTATTTAGTCAGGGGCAGTGACCTCTTTTCCCTTAGACTGTCAAATTTACAAAATGAAAGCAGCCAACACAACAATAGCCTTCTGGTGTGAATGAATCAAAATTATACCTATTTTTGGTCATGTCGGCAAAAAACACATATTTTGGTGTGCCATGGAATTTTAGTAATTAGTTTATGTGTGCCATGAAATGAAAAAGGTTAAAAATCGCTGCTGTAGATTTTAATCCCACTTGATTTCAGCCATTTTTTAGTACTGTTCATCAACATGCAGTTACATCTTGAGGATCTAATTTACCATTCCTTTAAAAAAGTATATAAAATGTACCACCCTTAAATCGCAGATTGCTTAAAGAAAGGCTAGTAAGACAAAACAGAAGAAAAGATTGTCAAAGTCTTTAAAAACATAAATCACTAGGCCCATTGTGCAAAGCATAACTTTTTTCTATGATGGCCCATAATTATTATCCTCATATGTAAGCTCATAATGAGCTAATGAAAAGAATCTACCACATCGTGTGGAAAACCGTGGTCCTCCTGGCTAAGCACAAATCACCAAGACTTACACGCACCCACATTTTGCTCCATTCGGTACTTTTCAACAGGTATTAGCACTCTGCCCTTAAAGTCTATTTAGAAACGCCAGTAAAACACAGACCATAACCCTTGCAGTCAGTTGCTGCACAGAAATATTTCAAGCCACACACAGATGTGCCTAGTATACTCAAGTAAACAAGTGACAGGGAAGCTTAAGCTGTTTGCAACATTAACGTGGATTCCCAAAGACTAGACTGCCACCTGGACACGTGGTTGGAAAAGAAAAGCTCGTTTTTCTCAGAAAGAGTAGAAATGAGAAAAATTTCCACCTCACTTATTTAAAGTTTCCACCTTCACACACACCCCTTTCCCCGAAGCAGCGGGTGGGGAACTCGGCCTCGCCAAAGGGGCAGAGAGGGATCCTGCACTAGACTTCCGTTCTCTCCGGAGCAGGAATGATACCGTGCCTTCCAGCCGTCGGACCCCCACCGCCGCCCAGAGCCACCTCCCGGCTCCACGCACCGCCCGACGGAAACGCTGCGCACCGCCCCGTGTCCTTCCATCTCCTAGTCGGGCCGGAGCTACGCTCCAGCCCGCGCACCCACAACCTGGACGCGCCCGCAGCTCAGCCCCGCACCGCAATAAGACTTCAGCAGTAGATCCCGGGGCGCCGAACACCGGGGCCCACCCGCAGCCAAAACCCGCACGGTAGCCCTCTCTTTGGTCACCCTCGCGCCCTCACGGATCGCCAGCCGCCTCCCCGTCCCCGGGGGCCGCTAATCGCCGCGCTCTCAGCCCGCAGCCGTCCAACCGCCCCCGCCCAGGCCCCACAGACTGCCAGAGTGAGGGGCAGGGACCGCTACGGGTCAGCCGGCCTCCTGCCCCAGGGGTTCCGGGCCGCCCCGGCCGTCCTCCTGCCGCACCTACCATGGTACAGATGGAGGCGAATTTGGAGACTGTCATTAGGATTTCCATCCGCCCAGCGCCATCTTCCACCCAATCACAGCGGCAGCGGCGGCGGGCAGAGTAGAAAGGGAGCCGGGCGCCCGCTCACACCGCAGCCCGCGGGCGGAACCCGAGTCGCCAAGGACCCACGCACCGAGGCGGTTCTGCCGCCGCTGCCGTCGTCGCCGCTGGCGCTCCGACACTCCCTACCTTGGGTCCCAGCCCCCGCCCGCTGGCCACCCGCCCGCCTGCCTCCGGCTCCTCCCCGGCGCAGGGCGCAGCCGCTGCCTCCCGGCCCGCGCCGGCCCGCGCAGCGGTCCTCCACACACCCCGCCCAGCGCGCTGGGGAGCGGGCTCCGCCGCGGCCCTAAAGCCCGGCCTGCCCGGCAGCTTCACGGCCCAGCGGCGCTCCCCGCCCACTGCCGCGCGCCCGTACCGCCCCGCGCGCAGCCACGCCCCCCCCCCACTTGCGCACGCCTCTCCCTCTTGGTGCGTGCCTGCCCCGGAACTCCGGAGCTGGCCTTGCCAGATGCTCTGCCAGGCACCGCCTCCTGCCGGCGTCCCTCACGGTCCTAGAGGGTGCGCTTCAGTCCGATCTTGAGCTTCGAGGGGCTCCTGGGGAGGTGCGGTTCGCTGAGATGGCTACAGGGGCGACACAGCAAATCCCGGAAGGGACTGACCGGCAATCCCCGAGAGCGCAAGGACAGCTATTTCTCACTGCTGAAACAGGAAATGGGGAGGTGATCTGGATGATTCTGAGTGGGATGGTAGGAAACTTGCCTCTGTACAGTTAAAATAACCCAGGTAATCCAACGTCCCAAGCACTTAAAATATAAAATGATTTGTTTCTTTTTACATATATTGGGTAAGTCCCCTGCGTCAAAACTCCCTAACTTAACGAAAGGCTAATTGCATAAAAGTGAAAAAGACGAAGTAGAAACTATGTTTAGCTCTTCGAATTAAGAAGAAGGTTAATATTGGTGACGGGGTCGGGGGGTAGGGGGGTTAAACTTCCTTCGTCACTGCCTGTTGGCCATAAATTTAGAATATGTGTATAAATATAGTTTCTAAATATATTCCTTCTGAAAGTTGAGTTGCAAAATAGGGAAGACAGCAACCCAGCAATGGTGATGATGTTACCAAGACAAGAAGTCTCTCAAGTGAGAAAAATGTCCCGTGAGAAATATTTAAGCCGTGTTAGCTAATAATACAGTTCCTCTTTTCTGCTTTTGTACAATTCATTGTACCCTGTTCATGTCAAGCAGCTCAGCTTTATTTTGCCCTATTTGAGAAAGTGGGCCAAGTGAGTATAATAACTTCATAAATCATTGTATTGGAAAGCTTGTGATATTTTTTCTATTGGTGAAATGTAGTGATGGGGTGATTTTCCGGGTTCCCCCATTTCAGTGGGGCTGAGGAAATCAATTCAGACAAGCCTTTAAAATCAGATATGCCTTACCTTACAAGTTCAAAATATTCAAAGCATTCAAAGAAAACTTTAGGTGGAAAGTAGATTTCTCCTACATGAATTCTGTTTCGTGAATTATAAGCGTTCTTGGAGAAACAAAATTGCAAATAGAATATAGCTGAGCCTCATTGTAGCTGGTTTGGTTCTTCAGGCACCTGCCTGCATGTAAGTTCGGGCCCAGCTTCTCTGCCTGATACCCAAGCCAGTGACCATGATCTTCCTTGTCATTACACATTCAGGTATGTGGGTGCTTCCTCCTGTTTCCCTTCCTAGACTTGGAAGTGTCACCTGCCTGAATTTTACTTGCTGTATTTCATATCTCTTAGACTTCCAGGGCCTGCCTGGGCCTCCTACCACTGTCACCATGCTCCTGGGTCTTGTCTTGCCTATTTGGATGAATGTCTATTGTCATCCCATCCTCCCCACTTGCTATTCTGTTCCAGCACACAGGTCTGATGTGCCAGAATTTAAGCTCTGCCTCCATCTACGCTGAAGGCCAACAGTTCTATACATAAGTTTATGTAAAAACAAGGCCTTTTAAAAGTGAATTTCTGATAGAATTATCTGGAGTTGTGCATAGTGCAACAGCCATCTAAATTAGCAGGTGATATCATAGAACCTAATTGTACAACCTGACAATGCCTTGTCTCTTCAGCCTAAGGTTAATCAGCGAGGCACAATAAAAAGATTCTTCTGTGTGCTGGGTGCTACTCTGGGTTTTTCTTGTAAATCATGTATCATGCAGTTGAAGATAAGATTTGGCTATAAGGCCACACATCTGCTCTTAGAACACAGTTTTGACCTGTGGCTGAATTTTACAAAAAGCTTGATTGTGCCTAGAGAAAGATGAGTTTGTGCTCCTATGAATTCTACTGGGCCTTCACGAGAGTGTAAGCTACAAAATATACCCAGATAACCTCAGGAACCAAGCAAGTAAGCAAACTAAAGCCAGCCTTAATTCGTTGGTCAGCACATTTTAAAAAATTGTTTAATTTGAATACTTTTAGACAATCATATACTGTCCAGTTCCTTGCAAGCCATCCATGCTTTCTGTTACTTATCCTGTCTCCCTTGAACCACATGTCCCTTTATATATTTCTTTTATAATATATTTTATTGATTATGCTATTACAGTTGTCCCATTTTCTGTCCTTTATTCCCCTCCGCCCTGTATCCCCCTTCCCACCATTATTCCCCCCCCCTTAGTTCATGTCCATGGGTCGTACACATAAGTTCTTTGGTTTCTCTATTTCCCATACTATTCTTAACCTCCTCCTACCTATTTTGTACCAACCATTTATGCTTCTTATTCCCTGTACCTGTTCCCTCATTGTCCCCTTTCCACCACTGATAACCCTCTAGGTGATCTCCATTTCTATGATGCTGTTCCTATTCTACTTGTTTAATTTTTTTGTGTGTTTTGTTTTTTTTAGATTCAGTTGTTGACAGTTGTGAGTTTCTTGTCATTTTACTGTTCATAGTTTTGATCTTCTTTTTTTTCTTAGATAAGTTCCTTTAACATTTCATAAAATAAGGGCTTGGTGATGATGAACCCCTTTAACTTGACCTTATCTGGCAAGCACTTTATCTGTCATTCCATTCTAAGTAATAGCTTTGCTGCATAGAGTAACCTTGGATGTAGGTCCTTGCCTTTCATGACTTCAGATACTTCTTTCCAGCTCCTTCTTGCCTACAAGGTTTCTTTGGAGAAGTCAGCTGATAGCCTTATGGGAACTCCTTGGGAGGTAACTGTTTCCTTTTCTCTTCCTGCTTTTAAGATTCTCTCTTTATCTTTAATCTTGGGTAATGAAATTATGATGTTCCTTGGTGTGTGCTTCCTTGGGTCCAACTTCTTTGGGACTCTGAGCTTCCTGGACTTTCTGGAAGTCTATTTCTTTTGCCAGATTAGGGAAGTTCTCCTTCATTATTTTTCCAAATAAGTTTTCAATTTCTTGCTCTTCCTCTTCTCCTTCTGGCACCCCTATGATTTGGATGTTGGAATGTTTAAAGTTGTCCTGGAGGTTCCTAAGCTGCTCCTCATTTTATTTTTTTAATTCTTGTTTCTTCATTCTGTTCTGGTTGAACGTTTATTTCTTCCTTCTGTTCCAAATTGTTGATATGAGTCCCAGTTTTCTTCCCATCACTGTTGGTTCCCTGCACATTTTCCTGTATTTCACTTTTCATTGCCTTTGCTTCTTCCTCTAATTTGTGACCATACTCAACCATTTCTGTGAGCATCCTGATTACCAGTGTTTTGAACTGTGCATCTGATAGGTTGGCTATCTCTTTGTCACTTAGTTGTATTTTTTCTGGAACTCTGATCTGTTCTTTCTTTTGGGCCATATTTCTTTGTTCTGGCACATCTTTTACATAGTAATGGGTGAAGCCTTAGGTATTCACCAGGGCAGGGTAACACAGGACACTGTTTTTAGAGCTGTATGTGGGGCAAGAGTCCAACAGGGAATAGTGCTACTTACTCGGCTCTCGGCTGGCTTTCAGTTACTTCCCCTGCTACCCACAAGCAAATTGGGTGCTTCTGGTGCTGATTCCCTGAGTGCATGTGTTTGTATACCTTCTAGGACCCTGTGGGTTTTGGGGGACCATTTTGTGTGGTATCAGATACTGCAGGCCCACAAAAGCAAGGCCTTGAAAGAAGCCTGTAAGTCTTGACTGGAACACCAGGAATGCAAGAGGCAGGCATGAGCCGAGTGTCCCCTTGGGAAATCAGGCCTGAAGAATGTATTGTACCCTTTGAAGCTTCCTTTGCTTTGTATAGCCCTATTGGTATAAACCAGATGTTTAAGTTCAAAGCATAAGGAGTGAACTCCTTATCACATGAAACACACTTTAACAACCATTTGGCGTCAGCATATCTGACAGACCCTGACCTGAGGCAGATCTCTGTGTTTCTTCAATTGTTATCTGTAGATAATATCTGTTTTCTGTAACTATAGCCTTTGGACTTGAATTGATGAGCTATGCATGCATGCTGTATATCTCTATACCAGAGGTGTCAAACTCATTTTCACCAGGGACCACATCAGCCTTGCAGTTGCCTTCAATGGAAGGAATGTAATTTTAAGACTGTATAAATGTAACTACTCCTTAACTGTCAAGCAAGAGCTCGGTGCTGCCACCAGTTGAAACAATGTGCCAGGCCAGATAAAACAAGGTGGAGGGCTGGATTGGGCCCATGGGCCTTGTGTTTGCCACCTGTGCCTTGCACATACCGACCCCAATAAAAGCTGTTTCAGAGAAGGGTTCAGGGCATTCTCCACTAGAGGGAATCACCACCCCCTTTCCCACCAGACAGATTGTGTCCAGGACAACTCATTTCATCTGTGACTGGGAGGACTCCGAGGGACAGGGTTCCCCTCGGTGGGTCTCTCCAACTAACTCTTCTGTGAGGCTGAGAGTTTCTCCTGCCACTGCAACCCCCAAAGATATCTACAGCCAGAGGTTTTGAGGCTTTCTTTACCCACGCTGGAACCCTGGGTTGCATAGTCTATCTCACTCCCCAGTTGTTCCTCCTGGTTTATCTGCACAGAACTGTGGGACTGCCCTGGTCCTCCAGCTGCCACCTTGCTGTGAGTCCTCTCCACCCTGGCTTCCCATCTCTGCTCCTCCTACCTGTCTGGATGAATGTTTCCTCTTTAATTGCTTGGTTGTCAGACTTCCATATAATTTGATTTTCAGGCAGGTCTGGTTATTTTTTATCATCCTCCTTTTGGTTGTGCAGAGGCAGAGTGTATCTATCTATACCTCCATCTTGGCCGACCAAAGCTGACTTCTAACTCAGAGGAGCTAAGTCCAGTTATCTACACAGTGGGACACATGACTGATTTGCT